ATCTAGATTAAAAAATATCTTCTGATTACCTTCAAATGTCCCTTTTAATCCTATAAAATTTATGGTGCTATTTCAAGTCACATAAATCCCAGAAAAATAGAAATCCACTGAAACTTGGGTTTCTATATTTTTTTAAGCAGATGCTAACCAACGCCACTTCACTCCTTAACCAAATAAAGAACCTTCTATATGCAAGGCATAATTTGAACATGATAATGAAATTAACCAACTCTATACTCATTTCTTTTCTCTGATCATATTTTTAATTCTTCCTAACAAAGGAAAATGTTTCCTTATAAGGTAACATGAAGCTACCTACTGGTATCTCCATTTCAATGTCTGATGGGCACCTCAAACCTAATGTGTCACCAACTGAACAGAGCAGCTGTCCCTTCTCCCTAATATTTCAACCGTCTTCCTTTTTTTTTTTTTTTTTTTGAGACGGAGTTTCACTCTTGCTACCCAGGCTGGAGTGCAATGGCGCGATCTCGGCTCACCGCAACCTCCGCCCCCTGGGTTCAGGCAATTCTCCTGCCTCAGCCTCCCAAGCAGCTGGGATTACAGGCACGTGCCACCATGCCCAGCTAATTTTTTTGTAATTTTAGTAGAGACGGGGTTTCACCATGTTGACCAAGATGGTCTCGATCTGTTGACCTCGTGATCCACCCGCCTCGGCCTCCCAAAGTGCTGGGATTACAGGCTTGAGCCGCCGCGCCTGGCCAACCGTCTTCCTCTTAATTGCTTCTCTGCGGTGGCAGTAGCACCATCCACCAAGTCTCCCAAAGCAGAAACTTACTTTCTGCTTCATCCTTAGTGGCTACTCAGTCACCAAATGATATAAATTTTACTTCCTAAAATGTCTATTTCTAAATATCTCTAAAATCTTCAAATCCCTGCCATTGTCACTAACACTGCCCTAACAATACTGTCTCATTTCTCCTCAGCCTTGATTAACAGACCTCATCTTTTCCCCCATGGACTCACCCCTTCCTCTCTAGTCATTCTCTGTGCTGTTTCTATAGTCACTGTCTAAACAGGAATGTAATCGCAATTCTCCCTTGCAGAACACTCTCCACTGACTACAAAGCCAAAGACCTGCAGCACTAATATGTCAAGTTACTGTGTCCAGACGTGCTCTCTGCCCGCCCCTTCCACATCATCTCCTGATACGTTCTGCTATAGTTTGAATATCTGACCTCTCAAACCTCATGTTGAAATTTGATCCCCTTGCTGGAGGTAGGGCCTAGGGGGAGGTGTTTGGGTCATGGGGGCAGATCCCTCATAAATATCTTGGTGCTGTCCTTGTGGTAATAAGTTCTCACTATATTAATTTCTGTGAAAGCTTATTGTTCAAGACACTGGCACCCCTGCTTCCTTCTCTCTCTTGCTTTCTCTTTTGCCACATGATCTCTACACCCACCGGCTCCCCTTCTCCTTCTACCATGAGAAGCAGCAGCCTGAATCCCTCATCTAAAGCAGATGCTGGTACAGCCTGCAGAATTATAAGCTGAATAAACCTCTTTTCTTTATAAATTACCTAGTGTCAGGTGTTCCTTAATGGCAACACAAAAATGGATGAAGACAGATTGGTACTGAGGAGTGGGGTGTTGCTTTAAGGAGACCTGAAAATGTGGAAGCAGCTTTGGAACTGGGCAATGGGCAGAGGTTGGAAGAGTTTGCAAGGCTTAGAAGACAACAGAGAGACTTAGGGAAAGTTGGAAACTTCTTAGAAATTGGTTAAGTGGTTGTGACCAAAAAAAAAAAAAATGCTGATGGAAATATAGACAGCAAAGGCCATGCAGGTAAGGTCTCAGATGGATATGGGAAACTTAGGAATTAGAGCAAAGATCACCCTTGTTACACCCTAGCAAAGAACTTGGCTGCATTGTGTCCATCCCCTGTGGTTTTATGGAAGGCCAAACAATACTGGTACCCTGTGGTATCTGGTGGAAGAAATTTCTAAGCAGCAAAGTATTCAAGAAGTAGTGTGGCTTCCTTTAATAGCTTATGATCAGATATGAGAGCAAATAAATGACAAAGTTGGAATTTATAATTAAAAAGGATGCAGAACATAATTATTTTAGAAACTCTCAGCATATGCATGTGGTAGAGAAGGAAAGAACATTTTCAAGAGAGGAATCTAAGGGTGCTGTGGAGTGACCAGTTGCTACAGAGATTAGCAAGAATAAATCTTTGAGTAGCTCCTTGCATCACAGGCCCAGAGGACTAAAAGAACAGAATGGTTTGGCGGGACAAGGCTTTAACATTTCAGGATGCTGCTCTCTGCATCCCAGTCCCTCTGGTTCCAGTGATGGCTCAGAGGGTCCCAGGTACTGCTTGGGCCACAGCTCTGGAGGGTACAAGCTATAAGCTTTGGTGGCTTCCACGAGATGTTAAGTCTGCAGGCAGGCAGAATGCACGAGTGGTGGAGGCTTGGCAGCTTGGAACTAGATTTCAGAGAATATATTAGAAAGCCTGGGTTCCCAGGCAGAAGTCTGCGACAGTGCAGGAGCACCTCCAGGCAGTCCTCACTAGGGCACTGCCTAGTGGAGCTATGGGGTTAGGTGGCTCCCATCCAGACCCCACAATCAGCCTAGAAAAACCTCTGGCATTCAACTTTAACCTGTGAGAGCAGCCATGTGGGCTGTAACCAGCAAAGCCATGGGGTTGGGAGTGCCCAAGGCCTTGGGAGCCTGCCCCTTGCACCAGGGTGCCCAGTATGCAGGACATGAAGTCAAAGGAGGTTTTGGAGATTTAAGATTTGATGTCTGCTCTGATAGGTTTTGGACTTGCAAGGGGCTGGTTACTCCTTTCTTTTGGCCTATTCCTCTTATTCCTCCCTTTTGGAATGGGAATGTTTACCCAGTGCCTATATAACCATTTTATCTTGAAAGCAAGTAACTGATTTTGATTTTACAGATTTACATTTGTGAGGAACTCAGATGAGACTGAATTTCTGAGTTGATGTTGGAACAAGTTAAGACTTTGGGACTACTGGGATGGAATGATTATGTTTTGCATGTGAGAAGAACATGAGGTTTGGGTGGCTAGGGGCAAAAGGCTACATTTTAGATATTTGACCCTCTAAACCTCATGTTAATATCTGATCCCAGTGTTGGAGATGGGATCTGATGCAAGGTGTTTCAGTCATGGGGCGGGGAGGATTGCTCATAAATGGCTTGATGCTGTCCTTGTGGTAATGAGTAAGTCCTTGCTCCTTGTTCCTGTGAAAGTTGGTTGTTAAAAAGACCCTGGCACCTCTCTTCCTTCTCTCTTGCTTCCCTTCCCACCATGTGATCTCTGCACATACTGGCTCCCCTTCCCATTCTACCATGAGTGGAAGCAGCCTGAGTCCCTCACCGGAAGCAGAAACTGGTGCCCTGCTTCTCATACAACCTGCAGAATCCTGAACCAAATAAATCTGTTCTATACAAATTACTTAGCCTTGGGTATTCCCTTATAGCAACAAAGAAATGGAGTAAGAAACCCTCTTTTGTGTCTTCCCCATTTTTATGCCTCTCTTTGATCTAATAACTCAATTTTAGAAAGCTCTAGCATAGATACAGAGAGATGATCCAATGAGCCAAGTGTTAGATTATAAGGTGGTCTACTTAATTTTGATTAATTACATTATTATGCCTGTATTTATACAAAAATATAACAGCTAAAATAAACACCCAAACAAAACTAAAAAACAAAACCAAGCTTGAGTGTGGAGGAGTTATAGCTGATATTTAATGAAAGCCTGGTTTATAGGCTCTTAAGTATATAGAAAATCCTTTGGCTTAAAATTCAAGTCCTTTAGATTTTCTAATCAAACACCCAACTTGTACATTTCTATCCCAGAAAATAATAATAAATCCAGACACTGGCTGTGAACTGTCATTCTAAATTTTGAGTATAAAAATGTTTTTTAGCGCCTTTCACATTTTCTGCTATCCATTTCTTTTAAGCATTAAGATGAGTGATGTAGAGTTGAAAGGAAAACACTAAGATCATTCTCCACTCCAGCAATCTGCAGTTAATACAAACTAATGTACTCTTTTCTCTTCCCTATATTCAACAAGTTTTGTATCTAAGATCCAGCTGCTCCAATTACAAATCCTCTTTGTACAACAGCCGAACATGAAATTTCATTAACCATTAGATCACGTTCTACACTTTACTCTGCACATAAGGGAAAAAGAAATTATAGCTAAAGTTAGAGAAATGTTAGAGAGAAACTGTGTTGCAGAATTTTTATTTTACTGTATACACATTGCACAATAACTAGTGAATAATTCATTTCAAACTTAATATAAATTTCAAATATATCCCCCGGTTCATGCATAAAGATATGCAATCAGCAACCGTTAAACAATAAGCTTGATGAACTTTTAGCCAAGTGTGTTGCTTTTTTTTTCCCAAAAAATTACTAAGGTGATACCATAAATAGACACAATAGAATAAACTGATGAAATTCACGAGTAGTCCTTTGACTAGTGCTTATGTCAAGGATCCATAAATGCATCTACGAATGATAACAATATCATCAGATGATGCTCTTAAAAATGTTATACAACTTTGAGAAAAACGAAACTTTTAGCAGGGTAAAGACTATTGAGATAGGCTACATGATTTACAATTAATCCTAAAAGCGGACGCCAATAAATTCTTCTGGCTCTGTGCAGATGGAAAGCCATTCAATCTTAAGAAAATTAGGCAGAGGTATCTGTTTTAAATATGGTAGAAAACTTATAATACAAACAAAAATTGGTTCTGAACTCACATAGAGAAATCTCCCACTGAAACGTTTATCTGGGGAAAATGTCTCTCTGGGGACAAACCCTTTTCCTGAAGTCATCATAGGGAAAGTACGTTAAATGATATGATAAAGTTTACTAAGACCCACCAATTTACATTACTATCTGGTAATGACAGGAGGTTGTGCCCATAAGTGCTGCTCTATAGAGCAGTTAATATACCATACCAGTGGAGGGAGAACTTCTGGTACTTCTTACCCTGGCATCATATTCAAGGACAAAGGGAGGAAAGTCGATCTGTTCTGGTGATATGGCAGAAAATAGCTGGTGGAGGCTGTCCACGTGATGGATTTTGTCCTTCAGTCCTGAGACAGAAAAGGTGGTAAAAAACCATGTTGACACCTGATTAACAGAAGACAAAAAAATAATTTAAGCCAGTTGCCACACTCAGAAACATAATCACAATTTGGAAAATTTGTAGTAGATAAAACTGTATTTCAAAAATCTTAAAATAACTAGTATTTTTCAAAGTGCAATTTGAGTTGTACAATCATCAGTTTAGTTGATTGTTAATAACATTAAAAAGAAGAAATGAGGATAACACTGACTAGAGACTATGACGAGTTTTGTTTCAGGAAGCTTTAGTTTCCGTTACATGTATATATGTTCCCATGTGTGTAGTGTGTTAGTGATGCACAACATGCTTCTTACTGTGGATTGTAGTCAAAACCACCGCATTATTTGGTAGAATAATTAGTGTTCCAGTCTTCTGAAAATGGTTATATTTCCAAATCACACACTGTGAATTTTTCAAATGAGACTGAAAAGAAAGTTTGTGCCAATATTTGGAACTTATATATTTTCAGTTGACGGTTGGCATGAGTCTCTTTCTCAAAGTCCATCAAAGTGAATCACTTGTACATGTGGTACCATCTTTGCTCATTTCACTTGACAACATGTGATCCCTCCCTAAAAGCTAGTCTGCAAAATTTGTTGGTTCCCAAAAAAAGGATAAAAAAATTCTTGATAGCAAACAATACTGACAAACAGTAGGTAATGGCTAGAGATTAAGATTATTGTTTATCTATCAGAATTAGCAATCACCAATCAGTCCATGTTTCTCAACATACAATAGTCCTACCGGGCAGGATGATATTGCTGCTATCCCCATTTTACTTACAGAGGAAGGTAACGTAAGCATATGAACTTTCAGTGTGCTGGTATAATACACTCCAAATAGGCACAAACTGGGTATGCTATAAATACAGGCCACTTTAGGTGCTTATCAGATTTCATCATTTTGTTAATTTCTCTTTGGCACCCTATCATGTTCTTCAGTGCCTGTTCCAAATCTTCAACATATTCCAGACCCTTAATATGACATGCTTTCTATATACTTAGTCAGAAAAGACAGAATAACAGAGACGACACTCAACTAAGTTCTATCGGAATTTTATTCAAACTTCCAGACTCAGTAGAAGTGTCATTTTCACCACTATTTCTTCCTTGCAGCTCCAAACAGACTATCTCCTTAACTAAATTCTTATAACCTTATAAATCTCATTAAAGCACCCATGCTTACCTCCTGGTATTTCTGTTACTTATACTGATTTCTCAAATCTCCCTAGTGCCTAGCAGATAAACAGAATTATAGTCTGTACAGTATTATGAGGTACTAACGGAGCCATGAGTTCTCCAGTATTTGCTAAAGAATGAATGAATGAAGATAAGGTCTATTTTATAATGATTTTTATGGCTCGGGTCGCTATTCTATGTTGATGACACTACCAACAATTGATTTAAGGCCTCAAACATTAACACCACCCTCTGTAGCTTCTCCCCTCCCATATTTACCAAGTTTATTTGGAGAGAGGTGGGGAGTGGGCAGGGATAGAACTTGGCCTTCCAGAACCAAGTGAATGAATTTAAACAATCCTTGAATATATAACAAAATCAGTTTGTTTAAACACATACTATTATATACCCTATTGATACAAACTTCTACAAAAGAGATTAGTGAAAATGCCGAATTAAGAGCTCCACAACTAATCACAGAGGTAGCTAAAGTAGTGAAAAACTCTTACAGAGACTATGGAGATTTTAGAGATTCTAGAAGGAACCTAAGAAAATCAATGAGATGGTAGAGGCAGAACAAAGAAGAACCTTAAGGTTCTTTACTCAGCATAATTATTTTGAGATTCATCATGTTGCTCTATATGTCAATAGTTCATTCCTTTTTATTGCTGAGTAGTATTTTACTATATGGATATACCACAGTTTGGTTACCAATTCTCCTAGTGATTGGTATTTGGGGTTTCCAGGTTTTGCTATCACAAATAAAGCTGTGATGAGCATTTGTGTACAAGCTTTTATATGGATGTTTTCATTTATCTTGGGTAAATACTTAGGAATGAAACGGCTGTATCACAGAGTAGATGTAGGCTTAACGTTTTAAATAAACTGCCAAATTGTTTTTCACACTTGCTGTAATACTTTGTATTATGATTGCCATATGAGATTTTCAATTCTTCCACATTCTCACCAACATCTGTTATGGTCAGTTTTTCAAATTTCAGAAATTCTAATAGGGCTGTAATGGTATCTCATTGTAGTTAAATCTGCACTTCCCTAATAACTACTTATGTTGAAAATCTTTCCATGGCCAGCTGCAGTGGCTCACACCTATAATACCGGCACTGTGGGAGGCCAAGGAGGGAGGATCTCGAGGTCAGGAGATCAGGACCATTCTGGCTAACACGGTGAAACCTCATCTCTACTAAAAATACAAAAAATGAGCTGGGTGTTGTGACACGTGCCTGTAGTCCCAGCTACTCGGGAGGCTGAGGCAGGAGAATCGCTTGAATCTGGGAGGTAGAGGTTGCAGTGAGCTGAGATGGTGCCATTGCACTCCAGTCTGGCCAACAAAAGCAAAATGCTGTCTCAAAAAAAAAAAAAAAAAAAATCTTTTCATGTGCTTAGTTGCCATCTGTACATCATTCATGAAGTGTATGTGCAAAACTTCTTCCCATTTATTTTTCTTTTTTTAAAAAATAATGTCGAGATGATGGTCTCACCATGTTGCCTAGGCTGGTCTCAAACTCCTGGCTCAAGCCATCCTCCCACCTCAGCGTCCCAAAGTGCTGGGATTACAGGCATGAGCCACTGTGCCCAGCCTGCAGTTTTAAAATTACTCAAAATACTTCATATAAATTTTAAAGATGGTATTTGAATGAGAAACTCAATTATTTGGTAAATAATGAGAAATTATTTACAAAAATACAGTGAAAATCATTCTCACTGAAGTTTTCACTCATCTCTTAATTCGGGAATATAATGAGGACCTTTCACAGTACTTATCATACATAATTTTCACACGATGATTTAAAAAATGACTATTTCTACCATTGTTTACACTTTCCCCTCCACTGGCTCCTACAGTATTAGTCTATCTTGGTTACTGTACTAATTTTTAGATTATTTCTTCTTGGTCTCCTTCCCTGATCTCAGCAATGTATTAAGTTGTCCTCTTTGCTCTAAGTCTCTCTGCGGCTTTTTTCAGTAATAAATAGGCTAAAACTCTATTTATTTGATGGTGACTCTCAAATTTATATCCCAGTCCAAATTCCCTACATCTCATGACACCTGGGAGCCATGGATGACATAGTTCTTTCTCTTACCCTTACTCATCTAACATTTAAGACATCATTAAATCTGCTTTTTAATGCCCAAATAAGTAATTTTTTTTAACCAACTCACATGTTCCAATTTGTGGAACTCATATGTTTTGTTTGTTGTTGCCTAGACCAGGAAATAGCAAACTGTTTTGAAAAGGACCATGATAGTAAATATTGCAGGCTTCTTATAACAACATTTTAAGGAAATTGTTCACAAGGCATGCCTGAAAGGCTCTTGGAGCAGTGCAGTACTGGAGAGGACATGAAAATTAATTAGGAGGCTGCTGTGTCATTGCAATAAAAGCTGATAGTGGGATGAAGTAATGTAGAGGCAGTGGGAATAAAGACGCAGGCATAAATTTGAGCAACAGTAAATACACAGAACTGATGCAATGTGCTAGGGGGTGAGATAGAGGAAGTGCTCCAGAGTGCCTTTCTGGTTTCTGGCTTAGGCACTTGGGTAGGAAGTCATCCCATTTACTAACACAGGGAACACAAACAGCAGTTGGGGTATAGGTGGAAGAGGAGTATATGAGGAGTTCTGTTTAAAAATGCTGAACTTCAGGGGCCTATAAGACACCTAAGTAAAGATATCTAATCAGTAATTCAAAATCCAGGTCTAAAGCCTAAGAACAATTGATAATGATACAATGATGACAACTTCTATTTACTGAGCACTTACTATATGTCAGGTAATGTTTTAAGTATTTCACGTTTTCACTCATTTCTTCTTAAAATAACCCTAAAAGATAGGTACTATTATTATTCCCATTTTATAGGGTATAAAATTAAAGTGCAGAGAAGTTATACTACTTGCCTGAGATGATAAATTGGTAACTGGTAGAGCTGGGATTAGAACTTAGGTCACCTGAATCTTGAAACCACAGTTCTAAACATTAGGCTTTATTGCCTCCCCAGATATGTTTGAAGACTGCATATATTTTGGAGGGTCACTGAAGCAATGGGAATAAAATGGTACAGGATTGAAGAGGAGGGTAGAGAAACACAGGAACACTAACACTCAAAGGATGCAAGCAGGAAGCCAGGTGCAGTGGCTCAGGCCAGTAATCCCAGCACTCTGGGAGGCCAAGGAGGGAGGATCACTTGAGGCCAAAAGTTCGAGAGCAGCCTTGGCAACATGGCAAGACCCCCTCTCTACAAAGATACACACACACAAAATTAGCCAGGCGTGATGGTGTGTGTCTGCAGTCCCAGCTACTCCGGAGGCCAAAGCAGGTGGATCCCTTGAGGCCAGGAGTTGTAGGTTACAGAGAGCTATAATCACACCACTGCACTCCAGTGTAGGTGACAGAGTGAGACCCTGTCTCTAAAGAGATGAGCAGAGAAAGACAGGTCAACAAGGACACTGAGAAGCAGCAGCTAGAAGGATGACAGAAATCAGGCAAGGTAAGTTTCAAAGAAGCCAAGACAAAGTGTGTCAAGGAAGAAGTCATCAACTGTGTTTAAGACTATAATGCTGGTAACAGAGAAAAGTGTCTATCATTTTTATTGGCCCAGAAATTTATGGATGATTTTGGTGTGAAAAGTTTCAGCTGACAGAGCAGGATCAGAACCACATTGGAGTAATTTAAAAGATGATGAGCACAGAACAAAGATTACACTAAACAATTTTGATTGTAAAGTGGAGTAGAGAAAAACAGATGTCTTAGCATGCTTAAAAGTTGATAGATAATGTGGATGCAGCAAAGTGGGAGAGGAGAAAGACACTACCTGTCCAAGAGAGGTTCTTAAGGAAATGGAAATACACTCTGTAGTTTGCAGTCTGGGATTAAAATGCCTAGATTCAAATCCAGCCTTTGCTACTGTTACCTTGGTTCCTGAATCCCTCTAAGCATCATTTCCCTTACCTGAACAGTGGGAGTACTAACGCTACCTATTTCACAGGTATACTGCAAGGCTTGAGCAAGGTAATTCATGGGAAGAACTGGCAGAGAGTAAGTTCTCAGAAGGCTTTAGCCAATGTCATTACTATGGGATCCACAGCACAGGGAGAGGGGCTGTCCTTCATTAAGAAGCACATTAATAAACTGTGTTCATTAAGAAGGAACACATTTTTGTGACAGAGAAAAAAGAGGCAATGATATGAACAGATAAGTAGTTTTGTAGTGGGAAGGTAAAGAGCTCTTTGCTGATGGTTTCTATGAGTGAAGAAAGCAGTACAATGGGTTAAGTTTAGGTTTTGATGGGCAGGTATGATGAAAGAGTAAGAGGTCATAGGTTAATTTACGCAATGACCAGAGTGGATGAAGTGATAAAATGTCAGTTTTAAGCTCAATAGAGAAGAAAATAAAGATAAGAAAGATGGCATTTTTAGAAAGAGTAAAAAGACCAAGGGACTACATATCTTGATGAAGTCAAGACACAGGCTTAGGAACTAGGACTGTAACTGTGAGCGACATTGCTATATCCTAGCCCTCATGGATCTTGCTGGCTCATGTATAAGGCAGAAAATTAAACACACAATCAAAATTAAAACAAGAACAGCTACTAGCTCCAGTATTAGTCAGGGAAGAATTTCTATGAAAAGTAGAGCTGAGAGCTGAAGACCAAGCAGGAGGTAGCCATGAGCAGAGGAGATAAGTGTATCTGTACCAACAGCATAAGCAAGGCCCAGATGAGCAAAGAGCACGAAAAGAGGCAGGGACTGATGGGCTAACAGCTTATAAGGGTTGCCCAGAAAGGCACTGGAGTCACATACACCAAAACATGAGGACGACAACTCAAGATCACTTAGCAACCAGGAAACTAGCGGTCACAATGGTGACAGCAACAATTAAGATGCTGAGCTATATCTTAATACTACTCTGGGCATGTAGTACACATAAATTCTAGATTTGGCCAAAGAGAAAAATACTTTACCTTTGAACGAAATGTGGGATGAACAAAATAAACAGCCTTCAAATTCCTCTTGTACCTGATTCAGAAATAAAATTACAAGAAAATCAGTATAAGTTCATGCCTAAGACCAATTACTATTATAGACAATTAGCTCTTTGCCCGAGTATATATATTCAAAGAAAAATAAAGGCAGCTATAATGTACAGATTGAATTTTAGGTGAATGTCAAAAACAATTCAGAGAACACTTCATTTTTTAAAGTATCTGTTTTACAGGAGATAATAAATGTTTCTGTCAGCTGAGCTAGAGCCACCTATATGTAGGGTAACGTTTTTTCATATTTAACAAACAAATTTATTGTGTGTCATTTTTTAATATGATGTTAGAATCTCTGGAATCAGAGGAATGAATTAAACAGCAGCTAAACAACTTAAAATTACAGCAAAATTTTAAACTGAAAGTTTCAATCGCCATGTTACAACTAGCAGAATTTGCTGTGTTCCAGAAATTGTAAAGGCTTTCTACTCAAATTCTCCTAAGAATTCTATGAGCCCAGGACTATTACTGCAGCTAATTCAGCCCTCCCAAAGTCACCCAGCCATAAAGTGGCAGAGCCACGAATGGAACCCAGGCAATACAGCTCCAGAATCATACTCCTATCCACTATTCCATCTGGCCTCTCTACGTGTGTCTGAAATTTTTTTTTCAGCAGTCCAATAATCAACACTGGGTCATGTGGGGTTAATTGAAAAGGACTTCAGGGAAGTCGTGCAAACTATTTCACAGTTGAGGCCTGTTCCAAGTTAAAGAACTGGTCAGTGGTAGAAGCAGAACTACAGCAGAGTGGGGTTTCCTTTCACATACAACCCACATTCAGAGAAAGCTAAAAAGGTGTCTACTGGGCAATGAAAGCTTTAATATTCGTAATTAAGATGAGATTTAATGGGAGGAGTAAGATAGCCGGAAATTTAAGGTAATTTGCCTTCTTTGTATCCTAACTGAAAAACGACCTTCTCAATGCAATCCACAAAGACACTGTGATGCTACAAATAGCAAAACAGCTAACAGGAGGGTTGAGTGCCAATTTTTACTGAAAAAAATGTATTAGTAAGAAAAAATGTGAAACACTCCATTTCATCCTTGCTATGGTGCGGTGTCATACATTTTCTGGTTAAAATTTCCATTATCATTTCAAGGCAAATATGCTTTAATGAAAATAATTTTCTAGTTCCAAGTCGGTAACCTGGGTTCAAGTCCAAATTCTGCATTTACTGTTGTGAGATTTTGGGCACATGCTTCACATTGTAGAATCTCAATATCCTCCATCTTTCAAACACAGATAATACCTCCCTAAACAACCCACGGGTAAAAGGATCAAAGTAAATAATGTTCATAAATGTATTTTGATAAGTACAATCATATAAATAGAAGATAGTATTTTTGTTACTTTTATTTATTTATTTATTGTTTGAAGATGGGGTTTCACCATGTTGGTCAGGCTCGTCTTGAACTCCTGACCTCAGGAGGCCTTGGCCTCCAAAGTGCTTGGATTACAGGTATGAGCCACTATGCCCGGCCTATTTTTGTTATTTTATACACAAATATTGGTAATGTAAAAAGTTTACATATGAATTTACTTTAATGCAAAGTAAGTTTCAGTTAGGGAGGGTCTCCTGTGATTGAAATCTCTATGTATGATAAAAATCTTTGTTACATGAAATACCCTTTTACAGCATACAAAGCAATGTTTGCCACCACTTAATATTAGGAAAAAAGAAGCTATTTCCCCTTCATAATTTGCAAAAATAACTAACTTGACATCAACAACATCGTAGAGTTTCTTCAGGAAGTCAGAATCCAGGTGATTGTATTCGCTGGTCAGTGTGTGAAAATACACTAATACGTACTCCTTCACAGCAATGTGATCCATTACATGAATGAAATATAAGAGAGCCTGAAAGAAGAAAGGGGAACAATCATTTTGAACAGTAGTCTATTTTACAGAGGCCTAGAGAAAAAAAAAATAACAGAAAACTAACCTACTCTATGCCCTAGTCATCACAGATGGATAACTCAGAGTGATGAATATCCATTCTCTTCAAAAAGATCTCCAGGAGAGTGAATCATCCCAGTGTTTACTAATTCTCCTAAGTGCTACAGTACAATTCCTTTCTGTCTAGTTCTAAGTGATGGAGGAGAACAATCAGTCTCTATCTTTTAAAACTCTTCATATTCTGGAAAAAGTTCTTGGATCAACTACCAAGTTTTCCCTCTCTAGGATAATGATATAAAAATCATTAGTAGAATTTGTACATTAGTAGAATTTAATAATTGTTTAAGTTTCCACTTGAATTCAATCTGAGTCTTTGCAGTCTCTACGCAGAAACAGACTTATGGCCTGCACATAACCAAGAATTACTATAAAAATATACGATATAAGTGCCTCACATGATTCACTTGAGAGCTAAATTTTTTAGATCTTTGGTGCTGATCTGAAGGAGGACATTGAGAGCAGGTTTCATCAGTAGACGGGCAATAGGCTGGGAAGCATTTCTAGAGCTCTGAAAGACTCAAATTTAATGTGATCCAAATCGGTTATAGAAATATTCCATTACAAAAATGACAAATTTGAAAGAAGCACTAAAAACAAAACAGAGATACAATATAGGTAGGGCCAGTATGACCCAGTGGTTTAGCTGTAAACAATCACATAGAGAAAGCTAAGAGGTAACAATCGAAGGATAATTATAAAACAAACTGTTTACCAATTCCTCTTCAGGTGAGGCCTTGACATTAACATGGTTGGATTAACATGGATTAGATCCAACTGCTACCAGAGCAGACAGAGGAGGGCAGTAAGAAAACACAGTATCTTTCCACTCATTACTTGCTTTGGTAACAATTATTATTATCTCAATGTTTTACAGGAAATGAGACATTGTGAATATCCAGAACACACCAAAATCAAATGCAAGGATTTATGGTTTTATTGGTAAAAATCACATTATTATAAAAATGAGTGTCATGCTGATTATTAATAACACAAATGATTACAAATAGAAACTTACTAATGGTATAATTTTTATCAATTTAGTTATTCCCTGTGTGTGTGCGCGCGCATGCTCAGGTGTGTGTGTGTGTGCGCGCACGCTCAGGCGCGCGTGTGTGTGCACGCTCAGGCGTGTGTGTGTGTGTGTGTGTGTGTGTTGTTTGTCTGAGACAGGATATCTCTCTGCCACCCAGGCTGGAGTGCAATGCTGTGGTCTTGGTTGCAGAGATCTTGCAACTTCTGCATTCCAGGCTCAAACAATCCTCCTGCCTCAGCCTCCAAAGTAGCTGGGACTACAGGCATGTGCTACCATGCCTGGCGAATTTCTGTATTTTTCATACAGACAGGATGTTTCCCAGGCTGGTCTCGAACTCCTGGACTCAAGAAATCTGCCTGCCTGAGCCTCCCAAAGTGCTGGGATTACAGGCATGATCTACCACATATGACTGTATGTATATTTTCATTATTCTTTTTTCTCCTCTTACCAGATTGCTGCTTCATCCTCTTTCTGTCCATTCCCTACCCCCACCCCAGGGCAATTAGGATACTCCCTTTTGGCTTCAAATTCAACTCCTTACGTTATTTTCACTATATAAAGGTATATTCACATGACCAAAAAATGTGAAAGACAAATTCTCCCCCAAACCATGAAATCCTTTTCCTTGAGACATTTTCCTTGTTTTTTGTGTTTAAAAACAAAACAAAACAAACAACTCAACTAAGGTCAATGTAAATACCATTTAATGTATCACTGTTTCTCTTACTAAATTATATTCGAAACATTTCTCTATAGTACTTACCTCTATAACCATAATTTATAAGGATCACAAAAGATCCGATTTGAATGCACCACGATTATCTGTTAGGAATTTAAATTTTAACTTTTTTGCTACAAATAATCCTGCAAACAACATGCCAGGTTCGGTGCTTTCACAACTTTTTTGTCTTAACCAAAACACCAGCAACCGCCAGAAGCAACCGCCAGAAGCAATTATCGGCTTTTGTACAACTGTTTCATCTTAAACTCTGTGTAATTTTGCTTTTTAAAGTATATAGTTTTTTACTATGGTTAGTAATTACTGATCAGTTAAAGTTATTATCCTTTGAAGTCAGTTCCTAAAAAAACTGGTATTCCAGGATTCTCTATATATTTATCTTGTGGGCTCAATTTCCCCTTGTATGAGTATCCTGCTTTAAATAGTGTCAGGGCCTATAGCTACTTCCAAACTTTGGGTTATTTCCTTAGTACAGGTTTTCAGAAATGGAATTGATGGATGAATGGATGTGACTACTTTGATAGTTTCAGTTCGTCTTTGATGACAATAACTATTACTTAAGAGTTATGGCTAATTTTGAAGGTGAATAAAGGTATCTCATTTAAATTCATCTTTTTTGGACTACTAATCAGGTTCAATATTTTCTTACTTTATCTGCCAGTTATAATAATTTTTCTTTTATGAATCATCCACTTCTGTTCTTTGACTCCAAATGGAGGGATTATAGAATCATGCTATCTTGGGTAAACTACATTTCTTTTTTTTCTCTTATACCAGATAATTAAACATTAATTTTTCTTTTTTCAAAAAAAGTCTGAATTTGATTACACAATTATAATACATATTCCAACCACTTACTAGTTACACCATATCCAAAACAGAGCAGCTGTGTTCTGGAGATCATATGACCGTATTCCAGTATTTTTATTTCTTGGGCAGAGGAAAAAAATCAGACCCCTAATCGACCTGAAACGATACAGGTCTACTCATAGAACCAAGTCTACTCCTCTGTCAGTGATACACAATCCAGCCTCGATTCATATTGTACGTGTTGATTCCAAATTCATATACTATTTAATTTTTCAGTCAATATTATTTGTAAAACAGAGGCTTTTTATGGCTTACCTTATCCATATCTATTAATGTTACGGGAATGTTTCTTCCAACTACCACCATCACTGTTCGACCACAGTTATCAACACCTATAAACAGGAAATGTAATCAGCACCCAGAAACTTCATTCCAAGAATATTATTTGTCTTGGTTCTACTTTATAAAATATTCTACATGAATTTAAAACCTTGAAAACAAGTAGTATAAGTTGCTCAAATTTCATCTTGCAATTTTTTTTTACTCTGCAGATAACAACACCTTTTCTAAAAAAGCTTCATGAAGTTTTGATCATTGTCCTTTTAAGAGAAGACCTCTTAAACATTTTAAATCAAGAACAAACAGCCAAAGATCTTTTAAAATATTTTACTTTCTAGAGACAGGAACTTGCTCTGTAACCCAGGCTGGGACAGTGGTGTGATCATAACTCACTGTAGCCTCCATTTCCAACTCCTGGGATGAAGCAATCTTCCCATCTTAGCCTCCAAAGTAGCTGGGACTACAGGCAGGTATCACCATACCTGGCTAATTTTTTCACTTTTTTTTTTTGTAGAGATGGGGACTCACTATGTTGCCCAGTCTGGTATTGAACTCCAAGTCTCAAATGATTCTCCTGTCTCCACCTGCCAAAGTGCTGTGATTCCAGGTATGAGCCACCATGCCCAGCCCCCTCAACCATTTTATAAATAGCTTTTTGCTTAAGCTCACTACAACTTATAACGACATTAGTGATCCAGGAAAAACTAAGTAGCACTCAAATCTGAAAATCACTAAAAAGTACTATCTGAAAAAGAAATAGAATGGAGAAGGAGTGGGAATCTGGGAACTTTCACTGTCTCCATCATATATTTACATAAGGTTTGAATTTTGTAGTAGCAAGTATATGGTATTTATAAAAGCAGAAACATTTTTTAAAAGAAGAGCGACACTATCGTGAAAGAAAGTTGGCCAATGCTGAACTGTAAGTTGAAAATTTTATAGATTTGGATGTTATTTTTAACATCTTGATGACAGGCAAAACTATCTTCATTAGTATAAAACTATTTTGTTCATTTTATAGATACAATAAATGAAATCAAAGAAAAATAAATTCTCAAATAGCCATGCTTGGTAGGGGACCCTTAATTAGTGAAAGAATAAGTACCGTGTATTTAAGCTCACCTGTTTGGTATAAGGCTTTTAGAGAAGCAATATCAGATAGATCCTCAGATCTTGCTTGACATAACCAGCGATTATAACTGGAGAAATAAACGATATAATCATTATAATAAACCCTTGGAAATTAAATTTACAAATGGGACCAATTTTTAATACCGTTACCTGACCCTAAAAATTTTCAAATATATGTTTCATTATAATGAGAAATGAGTTAAAGAAGCATTAAACCATGTAGACTCTCTACTACACCTTACTCACAAAATAAACACAGATAAATTATTGAGAAAGGGAGGTGTTCACTATTTTAAAAATCTTTATGATCAAATGAAGATTGTACAGGTAAATGGCTAAGATACCAAGTATTCAAAGTAACCTTGTTTTAAAATACTATTATTTTCCTTTACTAAAAACATGCATAGAGAAAGCCTAAAGCAACAGCAGGTCTCCAAAACACATGCTCAATCATTCAACAAAGATTTGCGTGCTTACTCTATGATAGTTACGGAGGATACTATCATGAAAGGACATGGTGGCCTCCCTCAAGAAGTTCACTTTTCAGGGGAAAAACAGGCAAGTGCTGTACATATTATATGAGATCACAAAGGAGTTGGGTAAATTTCTCTGGGCAGTCCTGGCATATTTAATCATCAGTTAAACTAGGTGTACTGATATCCCACAGACCAGATCATATGGACTGCGGTTTGGCTTTTAGCTAAGAGAATGTTAAAGCTGGAAGAGACGGCAAAGATTCTGCAGATGGAAATGACATCCAAAAGATTAATGGTCAAGTTCATCTCAGACTTCCCAGCCTATTAAATGGTAGAGCTGGATTTGAAGTTGCACTCAGGTCTCTAGATTTCTGGAAAGGTCAGTGCTTTTTCTACTATATCATATTAATTTCTTGAAATTAAAAGTGCCACTTACTTGATAGTGAAAAAGCTTTCAAGATACCTAAATGTATGAAAAGCAACTCTGAAGTGTGTAGATCACATAGGGCAATATCCAGTGACAACAACAGAAAGCTTAACTAGGAGAGGGGAGATTTGGCTTCTAGTCCTACTGCTTTCGCTGCAAACTTATTAAAGTCTTTTTACATTTATGGACTTCAGTTTCCTCACTTGCAAAATGGTGTGCATGTGTGAGGAATATCTTTCAGTTATAAAGTACAATTACTCAACCAAAAATATATAATGGGAATTCTATCACGTACAGACTGAAATCAACAAGCAACATGTCTGCTAGTTTCACAGAAATTGTTACTGCTTGTGAAAAACATAGCGGTACTGCATTAGTTCTGTAGACTGCCTTCTCAAACTTGTGATTTACCAATCCATGCAAATTGAAAAGTGAAAATCAGTAGCTTTGAATTTTGTTTTAAAATATAATTTCAAAGTCAAGAAAATGCCTATATTTATTGTAGTTCTCCCTAAATCATTTGCACTACTCCATATTTTCAGTCATTTCCTATTTACACTAAATCAAAATTCTATTTTTCTACTTAAAAAATTTTCTTTGACAGATAATGTACATGATGTACATTGTAAAATGGCTAAGCTCACATATTTATCATTTCTTTCGGTGAGAACACTTAAAATGTATTCTCCTAGCAATTTTCGAATATACAACACATTGTTATTAACTATAGTCACAATGTTGTATGCTAAATCTCTTATTCCTACCATCTAACTGAAATTTTGTATTATTTGACCAACATCTCCCCAGTCCCACCCTAATACGTCCAGACCCCGATAACCACTTTATTCTCTGTTTCTCAGGGTTGTTTTTTTAGGTTCCACAATTAAGTGAGATCATGCTGTATTTGTTTTTCCATGCTTGGCTGATTTCCCTTAAAATACTCTCTTATATCTTCAGTATGAAGGTTAAAAGACAAAACTATTAAAAACAATAGCAACAATAATTTGTTAAAAGACAGAAATAATACAAAAGTGTAAATTATGACATCAAAAATGTGGGAGTGAAGGATAAAAGTAGGAAGTTTCCTTTTTAAATCATTCTATATTTGCTAATTGTTTAAGTCATCTCCATAGAGAGACCAAACAGCAAAATACATACTACATCTTATGAGCGCCACACGTTGTAGCACAAAGCAATCAACAGGAATTTGGTTAATACCTATTAACTTCTACACTCTGTTCATGTATCCATTGGGTCATTTTTCAAAGATTGATTGAATAAATGCAGTGTTTGCATCATCATAGGTACTAAATTCTTCACTAAATTGAATAATCAACATGAGTATTATGCAAGGTATTTTGGGGCCTGAGAGGAATTTAAAAAATGCTCATGACTTCAAAGAGTTTAAAGTTGCATATATGAGACAGACATATTACAGTACAAAAAAAATTAACTTTGTAATAAGATAGAACAAGACAGGCAACCCACCAGAAGTCTAAATACTCTATCAGTCAAATATGTAGGCTGAGAAGGGAACTGTGGTGGGGCAGGAGGTGGGGAGAGGAGTAGAGTGGAGGCAAATTCTAGATACGCTGTAGAAACAAATGCTCCCTTCTTTGTATCCCCAAAGACTTCCACCATGTTCAGTGCAAGACTACATACACTTATTAGAATGGCTTTTCTATTACATTATACCACCAAATAGAGACTATGTCATACTTGTCTCTGTATTTCCAGCCAATCCCTAGGGTAGTTCCTGACACTCAATATCTATATCTATCTATATTCGATGAACTCTGAAAAATTTTCTTATAAAACTGGAACTCAGGTGTACAAAGCGGAATAAATCATCCTTGACTTAAAACAGTCGCATAACTGGTACGTGCGTAGTCCACTCAGAAGACTAGTTATATAATTACTTATCTTTAATGAAGTAATAAGCACCCTAAAATCTAGCACTTTAACAATAACCTTCATCTAGTCACGTTACTTCTCACCGTTATCTGGAATTCCAAGTTAATCATTTATTGTTTTCCTTTTCATGTTGTTTGAAATTCATCTACATGTAGTCAATGTAAGACATTATTTTTTGGTTGTTTTTAACTATGAAAAAAAGCTTATCATGGTATATGTAATCTCTAGGGTCTTATGTTTTTGACTTAGCATATTGCTAACATTCACCCGCATCACTGGATTTCAATGTTGTTGACTGATTTGGGCAATTACAGATTGAGCATCCCAAATCCAAAAATACAAAATCTGAAATGCTCCAAAATCAAAAACTTTGAGTGGCAAGATGACAAAAAAAAAAATGCTCCCTGGAACATTCTGGAGTTTGGATTTTTGGGATTTGGGGTGTTCAACTAGTAAGTATAATATAAATATTTCAAAATCCAAACAAATCAGAAATCCAAAAGACTTCTGGTCCCAAGAATTTTGGATATGGCATACTTAATCTGTATATACCATGTACTCATACTAGATAAAAACTATAGATTTTTTTCATTCACTCTCTCACTGATGGGCACTTGGGCTGTTCCCAGGGTTTTGCTATTGTGAAGAGGGCTACGATCAGCTTGTTTTGCATGTCTCCTGGTATTCATGTGCACAATTTCTCTTGAGTAGATACCAATGAATGGAAATGCTAGGTTACAGGGAATGTTTAACTTTAGGAGATAAGGACAAACCTCTTTTCCAAAACATTGCACCAAGTCATACTTCTATAAGCAGCGTATGAGATTCTGTGAACCCCTGTCCTCATCAACACTTGCTACTGTCAGATGTTTTAGTGTCTGTCAGTTGGCTAGGTTAGAAATGGTAAAGCATTTTGTAATCAGTAAGGAGTCTGAGATTCTGCTCATGCTGACTTGACTCTTTCTATGAGATGCCTGTTCCTATGATTTTTGCATTTTGTATTGGGTTGTTTGATCGTTTCTCACCAAGTTGTAGGTCTTTACACATTCTTGATGCTAATCATTTGCCAGCTGTGTGTTTGTGAATATCTGCTCCCATTTCATAACCTGCTTTTCACTTTGTTTATGCTTGCTCTACTTTCTAAAGTTCTTAATTTTAACATAGTCAAAACTATTTTTTTCTTTAGTAGTCAGTGCTTTTTATGTCTTTAAAAATCTTCCCTTTCTCGAAGGTTTGAAGGATACTAACCTATAACTTCTTCCACAAGTTTCAAAATTTTAAAAAATTTAAGTCCTTAATCTATCTAAAATTGATTTGTCCATAGTGTGAACACAGAAATAGTATAAACTCCAAAATGTTTTAAACCTTGATTGGTGATCAGCAACTTGAGATCCAAAGATAGATTTTAGTTGACAAAATCTATCTGAACATATTTGTGCGGAGAAGGTTGATAGTTTACATCCGATTCTTAAAGGGTGATGACTTTTAAAAGGTTAGAATCACTGCTGAGACACTGGTCCTGTTCTGGTTTCTGAGGACCATGCAACAACTCATGATTGCAATATTTATCAGGTTTCTTCTTTATTCTAACTAAGTCTCTGCCATTCCCACTATAGATTGTGTAAGTTTGATTATGTAGCCATAATTTTAAAAAATCAACCATTGGGAAGAAAGAGTAAAAGCACGCTTCTCACTCAGTAGACAATGCTTTCCTTCTTTTTTTCTAAACTGCATTATTTAAAAAAAAATTCATGTTTTCTATTACGGTTCTTATAAACAGCACCTCACTTTTTGCTGTAGTGTTCTGTTTTGTATAAATAAAGACATGCAATCTTTTGTTCCAATCCAAAAATCAAAACAAAGCTAAAAGGAAAATATAAACTTGAAATCGTTTCTTGGTTTCCTACAGGATATTTCCTAAATATCCCATATAAAATATTTTCTTATTCCAAATAAACAAAATTCTATTACTGTATGGGTAAATATAATAATCATGGATAAATGAGCACACAAAATGTGACAAAATGGCAGGAAAAGAAGTCACTAGAATGCTCTAAAGGCAGAAATACTGGTTCGTTTTTCAATGGGTTGCAATCAACTGAGGTTGGACACTGTTTTCACAAAGCTAATATAAGCCAATTTCTTCCAGTTAATACATTACCATCCACCTGTACAGCCAACAGCTGAATGACGAAGAAAATTTAAACTATACCACTCTTAAAAGACTAATAACTAACCCATCTGTGTAAAA